ACCATTCCCCAATGCATATATTTCCTCCCCCATCCTGATATGTTTGCTCTGTACCCAGTAATTACATGAGGACCAGACTCCCTCCATCCAGACCAACACTGCTCCTGGCTTCTGCCATGTTGCTCTGCTGCCTGAAAGACAGAGGAAGACTGGGGGGAACTGTACTGGGCACTCCAGGATGTAAGGGGACACTCTGCTTGGTACTTCTGGAAGTAAAGGTGGACTCTGTTGTGCACTCCTGGATGTAAGTTGGAAACTCTGTTGGGCACACCCAGGATGTAATGGGTGCTTATTCATTCATTTAAGTGTAGCGCTACTCTTGTTTGTATTTTTGCCCAGGTCTCACCTTGCTTTGCCCTGCAGCCATGTACAATGTATTTTCACAGCCAGGTACACACACACACTTCGCTCCTTGTCTTCAAAAACCAGTCTAGGGGATGTCATTTTTGGAATTTTATTGTAAAACTGGGGATAGGGATTGGGAATGTAGTGGGATACTCCAAAATTAGAACTATTCACATCTGAAGACATCTAGCTGATTTCTTACCGAAGTACTACTGAACTCCTGGCTGAAAGCAGATAGCAGACTTTTCTTTGGATTGTAGCAACAAGCATTCTAGGAGTGAGCAAAGTCCCTTTAGTTGTAGTAGTAGTAGCAGGACTGAGTTCCTCAGGTACAAGCCAGTTACGACAGCCCAAAGGTAACGAACCTGAACAAAGTCCTATACAGTAGCAACAGTTGGACAAGCTCTTCAGAACACTAGTCACTGTTCCCTTTCCTCAGACCCACGCTGTTTATCAAGCACCAGAGGGGTAGCAAAGCACACAGAGTCCCCAAGATCCCTCAGTTTGTGTACTCACAAGGCCAAAGGACGTAATGGTAACCTCTTTCCAATATTCCAAGCGAAACCATCCAGTGATACCAGACAGAGCTTTGGCAGACAGCTCCCCTCAGTCAGCATACTGTAGAACCAGGGTCAAACTTTCTAACTTCAGGCCCTCAGGTTGACCCACTTGGGGCCGCATGGTAGCAAGTGCCAGATGAGGCACCCTGCCTCCAGCCTGGCTAGTGCAATCCTCTCCAGGAAAGTTTCTGAGGCCATGTGCTCACAGAACATAAATACTGCTTCCAGCATGCAATGGGACACCCTCCCTTGCAATTGGCCAGGGCTGCATTCATATTCTTGATGCTCATTTACCTAGTTCCCTCCCAGGTTCTGGAAGGCACTAGTTGCTTTCAGAAGGTGGGCAGAACTCCAGGAACACTCAGCATCAAGAACAGACCTTATTAATCAATCACATCACTCTGTTAAGCAGAGCTCTATTAGATTTTACTAACAGTCTCTCTGTTAAGCAGAGAAACACAGCTATACTATTCTAACTACTAATCCTAGGACACATCTAGGAGCGTGCTACATACATTTTAAAACAGATTTGTTTGACCCATAAATATCATTGTACCTGCGATTTGACCCTTGTACTGAAAAGTTTAGAATCCCCTGTTTTAGGCAGCTGATTCTTTTCAATCTAAAAGTAGAATTTAGGCATTTTCAGAGAGATTCAGATGCAGGAATTCATCTTTCATTGTGTGTGATTGCACTAGATGGCAGTATTTACCTAGCATAGAGAACAACACTTTGCCTTTCCATAAACCTGATTGTGAAAAGAGCCCCCTATCTAGAGGATAGTTACATGTTCCCTTTATAGATATTGTAACTATTATACTTTTATTTTATAGATTTCAGCCTACACTGTATACACCAGAAGCAAGTTATGACCTTGCTTTCTTAGCATTGTAGTCAGTTAATATTTCCTAATCTTTTACCCTTCAGAGACATGAACTCTGATTGTAGTATAAGAATAAAAACCTGAAACTATGATTAATTCGAGACTCTGATCTGACCCCGTGTCCGGGTAATTCTGAAGTTATGGCAATAACTGGCTATTTTTATACTTGTTCCTCTGGCTACAAAGGGACAGACAACTTTATAAAACAACTTTTGATGTTTCCATAATTTTCTATTTTTAAATGTAAAAAAAACACGATTCCTTGGTTTTGCAATGAAATAATTTAAACATTGTTTGACTTTCTCAAATGTTGTTCATTTACCAATAAATAATTGCATGAACCATGTCCTTGCTGTACAGTTGGAAGTAATCTGGACAGAGAAATTGAGTGTGTTGTAGATGAATCGTAAAAATAGACAGCACAGTTATTTTTCACCTGGTATTGTGAACAATCGATCTGCCATTTTATTGTTCTGCAGTGTGGTCATTTCTTGCTTACTTAAAGCAGAACTCTAGGCCAAAACTTCTTTACATGTCCTTGTTGTTAATTTCCTACCTTGATTATGTCATCCATCTTCTTATTCACTCAGTAGTTGCTCTGAAATAGCCTATTTATTTTCAAATCAAACCGTTAATTCTCTTTTGTTCCTGTGTGTAAGACCAGTTGCTGCTATGCCTCCTATTCTCTCAGGCACTGGTCTTGGCACATCCCTCTGCAGTTCTTTATCCAGGAAGCAGTGATGTAATTCAGCCTCAATTGCAGTGGTGGGTGGACCGAGACTCTCAGAGATTCAACATGTACAGACCTAGTGTATTCATATTCACTATAATTACCTGTGGTTGATGGCAACTGTTGTTTCCTTTTACTGCGGAGAGAGAGGAGAGGATATGATGTAATCCCTGCCATTACACCTCCTGACCTCTGAGCTCACTCTTGTAAATAAGTCCATAAAGAGTTAAACCATACTGCTCTGTAACGTCATGCTCAACTTTAAGGCATCCCCCAAGCATGTTATTTACCACTTCCCGTCTGGCCATTGTATATAAACAGCCGGACGGTGGCAGTGCAGGGGCAAGTGGCCGTTTGTAAACCCAGGGAGCATACAGCACCGCGATCAGGTGTCCGCTGTGTCCTCTGGACACAGTGGAACACCGATCATCGTACGGCACTTCTGTGCGAGGTCCCATCATGTGATCACTGATTGGCCAATCAGTGATCACATGCAGAGTAGTAAGCAAGATGTCATTTCTGACATCATTGCTTACTACGTGTGAAATCTGTGAATGATCACAGAGATCACATGGTACAGGGCCATTCACAACAGCCCTGTACCATGTGACAAGCTGTGACCAATCACAGCTCACACAGTAGTTCTCAATGGCTACAAGAATGCAGCCAGAAAGTAGAAGCAATGATTGCTTTTACAGCCTTTATGGGTGTAAAAGCAATGAGTGTTAAAAAAAAAAAAAAAAAAAAAATCTTCATCACCCCCAACAAGTAGTACAGTGTCACCATGGTGACACTGTACTGCTAGGGTGACAGTACATAAAAAAAAACAAAAAAAAAACCCATAACTAATAATATAAAAAATAAAAATAAAAATGTAAAACAAATGTTTAAAAATTATAATTTTTTTGTTATAAACTAATTTGGGTTTTTTTTTTTTATTAAAAAGATAACGGAATAAATTTTGGCCAAGATTTATGATGAAATATTATTTATTTGCAAAATTTTATAAGAAAAACACTTTTTTTCAAAATGTTTCGACTTTTTCATTTACATAGCAAAAACAATAAAAATCCCAGTGGTGAATAAATACCACCAAAATAAAGTTTTATCTGTCTCTAAAAAAAAATGCTAAAAAATTCATATAGGTACAGTGTTGCATGACCACGCAATTGACATTCAAAGTGTGATAGCACTGAAAGCTGAAAATTGGCCTGGACAGGAAGGGGTAAAAGTGTCTGGACTTGAAGTGGTTAAAGGATGTGTGTATTTTTTTACAGTTTTAATGTTCAAAAACCTCTACCCACTGAATAATATATATACAGTATTCTTTTGCATTTTTCTAATGAAAGCTTGCAGATTAGCCTTGAAAAAGGACAGAGAAAATAACAAGATTTGACTCCTTTATACTTTGATGGGGTTTGGCTCTATGTTCTGAGTCTATACTTGCATTTAACTTGCTTCTGAGCCACCAATGTGCAGTAGACCTAACTGACATTACACAAGGAATATTACTTAAAGCAGACCATTACCCATAACAACTTGAAAAAAAATAATGTTTTTTCGCAAGGAACATACATTCCACATTAAAAATTATGCTAACAAAATTAGTGTGTGCTGTAAATTGCAACTGAGCATGTGCAATGCAGGGTGAGAGTGTATTACTGGATTTTAAACAGTATAGACACTTATTTTTAATGTTTTACATAGCTATAGTTACAAAAGGGACCAGCCTGAATTGATCTAACAGGATGTAATTTTCTGACTAAAGTTCCACTTTAACATACACTATAGTGCCAAAAGTATTGAACTTTAATAGCATCCCAGTTTTAGTAGGCTTCAATATTGAGTTGGCCCACCCTTTGCAGCTATAACAGCTTCAACCCTCTTGGGAAGGCTGTCCACAAGGTTTAGGAGTGTGTCTATGGGAATGTTTGACCATTCTTCCAGAAGCACATTTTTGAGATCAGGCACTGATGTCGGAGGAGAAGGCCTGTCTCGAAGTCTCGGCTTTAATTCATCCCAAATGTGTTCTGTTAGGTTGAGGTCAGGACTCTGTGCAGCTCTGTCAACTTCCTCCACCTCAAACTCGCTCATCCATGTCTTTATGGACCTTGATTTGTGCACTGGTGTGCAGTCATGTTGGAACAGGAAGGGGCCATCCCCAAACTGTTCCCACAAAGTTGGGAGCATGAAATTGTCCAAAATGTGTTGGTATGCTGACGACTTAAGAGTTCCCTTCACTGGAACTAAGGGGCCAAACCCAACCTCTAAAAAATAAGCCGACACCATAATCCCCCCCAACAAACTTTACATTTGGCACAATGCAGTCAGACAAGTACCGTTCTCCTGGCAACCGCCAACCCAGACACATCCATAGGATTGCAAGACAGAGAAGCGTGATTTGTCACTCCAGAGAACACGTCTCCACTGCTCTAGAGTCCATTAGCAGCGTGTTGTACACCACTGCATCCGATGCAGCTGCTCGGCCATGGAAACCCATTCCATGAAGCTCTCTACACACTGTTGTTGTGCTAATCTGAAGGCCAAATGAAGTTTGGAGGTCTTTAGCTATTGACTCTGCAAACAGTTGGCAACTTCTGCAAACTCTGTCTTCAGCATGCGCTGACCTCTCTCTGTCATTTTATCTGGCCTACCACTTGTGGCTGAGTTGCTGTTGTTCCCAGTTGCTTCCACTTTATTATATTACCACTAACAGTTGACCGTGGAATATTTAGTAGCAAGGAAATTTCACGGATGGACTTATTGCACAGGTGGCAACCTATCACGGTACCATACTTAAATTCACTGAGCTGAGAGCGACCCATTCTTTTACAAATGTTTGTAGAAACAGTCTGCATGCCTAGGTGTTTGATTTTATACACCTGTGACCTTGGAGCTGATTGGAACGCCTGAATCCAATGATTTGAAAGGGTGTCCCAATACTTTTGGCAATATAGTGTATATATATGTAAATATATTAACATATACATTTAAACAAAAACATAGAAAAGATTATAGATGTCATCTATGTTTGGTGCAGGAGCCTGTATTGTGGCCCCTTAAAAGAATTAGATACAGTGAGCAACTATTTTGAATAATTATTGCAGTGTTTAAAGTAATTGTTTAGGTGACTTACACATTTTTACATACTTGGTCTGTAATATTTTTGTCATTGTAGTAAATGTAGAGTTTTGCACATTAGCCACTAGAGGGAGCTAGAAATAGGTTGGTTTTACCACTCTGCTTTCTACCTAACTACTTGCCTACAGGGCACTTTTACCCCCTTCCTGCCCAGGCCAATTTTCAGCTTTCAGCTCTGTGGCAATTTTGTAACATTGTACCCATATGAAATTTGTATCATTTTTTCACACAAATAGAGATTTCTTTTGGTGGTATTTAATTGCCACTAGGTGTTCAAAAAAAAAAAAGTTTTTCTTTGTTTCTATTATAAAATTTTGCAAACAGGTAAATTTTCTCCTTCACTGATGTGCATTGATGAGGCTGCACTGATAGGCAGCACTAATGGGCACTGATAGGCTGAGGGCACTGATGAGGGCACAGATAGGCTGCACTGATGAGGTGGCACACTAATGATGCGGCACTGGTAAGCATTTCTGAGGAGGCACTGATGATGCTGCACTGATATGCAGCAACGATGGGCACTGATAGGTGGCACTGATGGGTGACACTGACAGGCGATGCTGACTGATGGCACTGACTGACAGCACTGATGGGCAGCACTGATGGGTGACACTGATGGGCAGCACTGATGGGGGGCACTGATGGATGGCACTGCTGGGCACATAAGGGCACTGATGGATGGTACTGCTGGGCACAGATGGGCACTGGTGGGTGGCACTGCTGGGCACTGGTGGTGTGGCACTGCTGGGCCTCACTGCAGGGCAAATATTATCAGTGCCCTGATAATCAGTGCCGATCTGCTTGGTGACAGCTGCCACTTATCGGCAGTACTTTCCTCACGCTGTAACAGAATGACAAAAATGCAGCCGATAACCGGCAACTGTATTTACTCTGTGATCTGCTGTGTCATTGAACACAACTGATCACGTGGTAAAAGGCCGCTGTAATTGACCTTTTACCTCATCATGTGATCAGCTGCATTCATAGGAGATCGCCAGGTGTGCGCTGCTGGGGGCGTACGGGAGGGCGCATTCTGGGAGGATGTCATATAACCCCCTACCAGAAATGGACAACCGTGCTGTAGCTGTCATTCGGCTATAGTGCGGTAAGCATGTGGTTAATGACTGTTAAGCCACAATATCAGCAACATAAGGAGGGCATTGTTTTCAATGACAAAAAGAAGAACCCCAAAACCATTTTGTAGCACTGCAGACCAGAAAGCACAGGCAGTGCATACAATAGACAATTTTGACTGCCCCCTGTACGTGTTGTATATAATTACGTATTATCCTTAGAAGCATGGATTTTAAAACACCAACATGATTGAAAAGATCACTTACATCAAGCTGTTGTTTGCATTCATAACTAAAAAAGCACTGGAAAGACTATTGAACTTAATAAGAAGCTATCAAAAATTTTGTGTAGCACTGGTCTATAAGACAAAACCCCTGACTGATTGTGCAATAGTTGTCTTTAAAAGGAAATTAAGAGTTTGAGATAAAAAAAAAAACCTCTGCGATATTTTAAATTGAGAATTTGTTATGTTTTTTTATTTTTTTTTTTAATCTTTTCATAAATTATATACAGAATGCACCCATGACACAGGATCCCACAGGTGTAGTATGGGTTTTCCTAAGACTTGTAACTCTACTTTCATGAGAAAAAGAATATCACAAATTAAAAAAATGGTATTTTATTATACTATTATGACACAAGCTATTTTATTATTTAATGTTATCTTTCTTTTTCAATCTGCAGTGCTGTAATGTTCTGTAACATTCAATGCAGTAGGCCAACCCGGAGGTGTTCTGTACACATTTGGTGCATGGAACAACTCCAGAAATGTCATTTCCTGCTTAGGTGATTGGCTCACTGATTTTCCCAGAAGTCTGCACTTAAATACAAGTCAGATTTTAGGCATCTTCTGCAACAAACAATCTTGTCGGTTTTGACAAGATACTCCCAAAAGGTTAAATACTTCAAAAGGAACGCTGACATTGCAACTCTCCTCATTAGAACACTGCAAATGCAATAAGGAAAAAGTTACTCCCATTCAGAAACAGCATCCAAAAGACATATGCAAAATAACAAGCAGCTTTTTCTTTACAGCAGAAACAGGTAGGATGTTGTAACAAAGTTTGTTAAAATCCTTAAAATGTATATAGATCATCCAAAGGGGATTTTTTTTCCTCAACAAAAGTGGAGTTACTCTTTAAGCTGACCATACACAGAGAGGGCAGAGTAATTCATCTGACTTCTCTTTTGTTTGTAAATTAGCACATGAGATACTGAACATTAGACTTTTTCAGCAAGTCGGATAAGAATAAGCTGTAAAATATAAAAAGTAGCCTAGTGCTTCACCTGCTTGCTCAAAATGAGAATACAAGATATCTATATGCAATATTTCACTTTTAATTGAAAATGTGTTTTAACATTTTTATTAATAGTCCTGACCATAGTAAATAATATATACAAAATAAAAAATATATACAAAACCACACTACACATACACACTCCCTTTAGGTTTGCAGATGAAAGCAAAGGAATACTCGTGCAGAGGATTGAGTGCTTGTGAAAAGTATTCAATTTCTTACTTTCCAAATTATGGAGCTAAAATCTCAGCTACTGTTGCTGGCATTTCCATGGTTTAATTAAGTAGAGTAACATTTAGATTTGGTTAACCTAGTTTATCTTTTGCACTGCATTTCAGAGGTTTGCAAGATGTTCGTCCTTGGCTGACCCAGTTTTTACTTTGTCTGGCCACTGTTATAAGCTTTTCTAAAAGTGAGATTTAAAACTGAAGTCCAGGCAAAAATAAAACACTGTAATGTAGTTCTGTAATCAATCATAAATGGATTTGGCTTGGTTTTATCCTTTTTTTAAAGTGGTATTAAACCCCAAACCAAAAATGTTATATATTGCAGCTTAGCAATCATTAGATGTGGTGCCTGCATTGGATTTCTATGTTTAGGATTTTTTTTTACCCTTTTCACCTGGTGATCTGGCCAGTAACACACCTCCGATAGTACAGGCTCCGCTCTGGATGAAAGAGCATAGTGGCACCTTTTGGATTGCAGCATTATCAGTCTGTGGGAAAGGGACTGTTAGGTGGACTAGCAGATTTAGATGCACTAACAAAGTGAAGCTGAACTCCACCTCATACTTTATAATCAGTTACAGAAAACCGTTTTGTTTTTTTCTTTTGGGATAAAGGTTTTACATAAAAATATAAAAACTGATCATTGTAAACGCCCCTGTCAATGGTAAATTATTTGCCTCATCTCTGTAACTTATATGTTTGAAGGAGAGCTTGTTCTTTTGAAAAACAAAAAACTTACTGGCTGAATTAGCACATGAAAATAGAAGAAATAAAGCCTTAAAAAAAAGAAATTCAGCCACCACATCTGAGAATTGGTAAGCAGCAATATAATAAATGTTTGCTTTTGGGTTTAATACCTGTTGGAATTCAGTGTTCATGTATTTTGTGCAGCAACTACATCAGTATTCAGTGGAGACACATTCTTTATCCAGTAGATAGCAGTGTTTATAAGTTTGTAGCTGCATCTATGGTATACTCTGTGTCTTAGAATCAATAAATAATTGGAATATTGTGGTGCCTATGTGACTGAATGTCGAAACAATACATTTATGCCGGCGACAGAAGGCTGACAGCTGCCCCTAAAAAGTGAGATACACTTTGACATATAGAAATGTGAATAGGTAGGTGCTAGAACAACCGTGCATCAGAAAATGAGAGCAAGTCAACTCTCAACATCATCTAACAAATATTAGTCCTATACCAAATATAATGATATGAGACTCTCAATAACATCTAACAAATTGTATTCCTATATCAGACGTAATAACAGTCCCATGACGATGTAATTCCGTAGACCAAAAAATGTGCGCTTTCACCACGTGCAGATGAATAAGTGAATTTCTCACTCACCAGAAACAATTGGCCCCGATTAAGGTGGTGGTACCGCTTTGTTATAATAAGTATTGAAGACCAGCAGCACGCTCTCCTAGGTTAAATCTCCCAGTCACCAGTAAATCACAGATAATTGCCCCCAGTTGGGTAAGGCTCCAAGTATAGCAATAGAGGATGGACTCTTAGTACCAGCCTCTCTTATATCAAAGGTGATGCTCCAAGCAGCTCAAATATATCAGATGGATTAAACATTGTAATATTTATTGGAAATGACATGGCAAATACACATATAGCTTTACACTCACAAGTAAAGGCGCCCAAAGAACCGGCACCAGTCTGTAAAGCCTGTGTAGATAAGTAATCCAATAGTATGGCCAGCATGCATTTCAAGCCTCGCTTTCGATAGGCCGGATGTGACATTACAGGATCGCGCTTCTAAGTACATTTCGCATGGCAGTGTCCTCAGGAAGTCCTCATTTTCTGATGCACGGTTGTTCTAGAGCCTACCTATTCACGTTTCTATACTCTATGTCTTCTCTGAATAAAAATTTCCTGTTTCCTTGTTGCAGTGAAGCAGAAAATATATGGACTGTGCTCTGTCTGTTCTGTAGGGCTTTATACATAACTGCTAACAATACCACTTTAATCCCCTGTACAGTAATGCTTTGGACTGGAAGGGGGAGAGACAACTTTCAGAGTCAATGAGGTGAGCTTAAAACAAATATGCTGAAAGGGGGTTAAATACCTCTGTCATTTATATGGGGATGGGAGGTTTAAAATCCTTTCAACAAATGCAGATTGATAGGGGCATACCTACCTCTTGGGGTTTTCATTATGCTCAGCTCAAACATGCTGCATTACGACAGTTTGGTGTGGAGGTGGTGTCTCTTTCTAATACTAAATTAGAGACTCTCCTTCTGAAGCTGTAGCATAATAAACTGGTATCTAGCTATTATTCAGCATTGACTTTGATGGTAGACAATGCCATAGGACCAAGGAAAGATGGGGAGCTCCAATACCAGAACTGACGGAAGAGATGTGGTCAGGAGTGTTTCATTAATTTGTGGCTTCTGTCATTTCTTCCAAAGATAAGATGATACAACTCCGATACCTACACTAGACATATTATACACCATTACCTTTATTCAAGATGGGCAAGAGAGACACTGCAACATGTCATAAATGCTTGGCATTTATTTATGTGCTAATGTACGACCATTATGGTCGCAAGTTACCCAGTTTATACCTGACACTATCGATTTTCCAAACATATGTAGCCCGCTAACCTTCCTTCTGGGGGTAATTGAGGATAATATTATGGCTAATACCACAAGAACTTTTTTGAGACTACTATTTTTCTACGTGCATAAATTGATAGTGTTACATTGGACAGGGGCACATGTCCTTAGCTTAGCATCCTGGAAAAAACTGGTATATTGTAGCCTCCCTGGTGGTTTTCCCGAGTGTAGCTTGGGGTAAAGTTTCAGTACCACAAGCAGTAACCCCGAGCTACACTCGGGCTTACCATGCGGCGCTTCTCCGGGATCTCTTCTTCTCATACCTTGTCCTGCGCTCCCGCAATGTCCCTCCTGCAATGTCCCCTGTAATTTCCTCCGGCGGATGCTGGCATCTGTCTTCTGGGTTCCGTTCCCTGCGACGTCAGGACGTACGGGGGACGGAACGGCGGGAAATTTGAAAATGACAAAAAGTGACATTCACTAAATTCACTAAAATCACATAGTAAAACATTACTGTATCAAACCATTTCACATACATTTTGTCCCTAGTGCTTTGTCCTGTGCCCTGCCTTCATTTTTACTGTTCTTTCTGCCTTGAAACTGAGAAACGTCCATGGCGTCCAAAAAGCGTCCCTTTAGGTCAAAATCGGTTTTACACCAGCTAGAAAACAGCGATAGTAAATTAGAACCACTTGCAGAATTGAGTGATAATGATTTGTGGGGAAATTCGTCATCAGACACTGAAAATGACTTTTCGACTTTGTTCAAGGATGTGCGAATTTGGAGCTATATTTCCAATTTCAGTGTTTTTGGTTTGATTATATTATTGAATTAAATTTATTATTATTATTATATTATTATTTTTTATGATTATTTATTAAATTATAATTTATGATTTTGTGTTTCAAATTTTAACATACCCGGGATGTTTACTAGACTCTTGTTCGGACAGATTTCAGTAAGTTATTCCTAAAAATTACAGGCCTACAATAAAAAAAATACATATTTCCATGCAAAAAAATATACTGCTTTGAGCACAGAAATATTGACATATTCAGACCGCTAGGGAGGTTAATGTCCCTTTATATGAAATGACATATGAAGCTAGAGGATGTCCAAAAAATTTCTGCAAATATGGCCTAGGTGGACGAAGTCCTCAGACATGGTGGAAAACAGCCCTTGAGGGATATAATTAGTGTATTGTATAAGATATACATGCCATCTGTCCACTGTTTAATTTTGCCTATCTGTTGCACTGGTAATCAATATAACACTGATGCTAGTATACTGTTATGTGATGGGAGGATAGCGGTTTACTCCAAAAAGTTTGGTTTCAAATTTGTTTCTTTTTGTTTGTTTTTATCTGTTTGGAATTTTTCTTTCTCTACACATGTAATAATCTCAAACTGATGAATCCAAAAACCAAAAATGTGAAAATGCTATATGTGTATATGTTGTCATTTATTGTTTTCTTTATGACATGGCTTTGCTGATATCTCTTGTCTGGCAACTCAGTTGAACCACAATGTGTGTTGTCATGTTATGACTGGATAATACTTGTGGAAATATGGCTGTTTTTTCTTTCTCTAAGATTCTTGTACTTTGTATTATGTCTTAAGAACTGTTATGCTATGTATATTTGTGCATATGGCAATAAAACCTATTTAAAAAAAATATGCTCAAAAGGAAAATACCTACAGGAGGAGAGAGAGCAATCGGTATATACCATTAGTCTCCTGCTGCTCCTTTCTTGTCCAATCAGCAGGCTGTGGGCAGTAGTGTCAGCAGTGTATTCCTTAGTGCTGTGTAAATCTCTGGACTGGATGGGACAAATTTAATTTCCCTTGGCAGGTAAAACAGTTCACTTCTACTGTGTGATGTTTGCATTGAGCTCAGTTGTAAATGTTTGTTTATGTCACAAATGGCCATCTACCCTTAGGCACTTGTGGGCATATGCCTAGAGAACTAAGAGGGGATTAGCACAAAAATAAAATGTATTATTGTAAATTTTTAAAGAGGCAATTCTGTGACCACATCTCACTGAACTACATACACTATATTGCCAAAAGTATTGGGACGCCTGCCTTTACACACACATGAACTTTAATGGCATCCCAGTCTTAGTTCGTAGGGTTCAGTATTGAGTTGGCCCACCCTTTGCAGCTATAACAGCTTCAACTGTTCTGGGAAGGCTGTCCACAAGGTTTAGGAGTGTGTCTATGGGAATGTTTGACCATTCTTCCAGAAGTGCATTTGTGAGGTCAGGCACTGATGTCGGAGGAGAAGGCCTGGCTCACAGTCTCCGCTCTAATTCATGCCAAAGGTGTTCTATGGGGTTGAGATCAGGACTCTGTGCAGGCCAGTCAAGTTCCTCCACCCCAAACTTATCCATGTCTTTATGGACCTTGCTTTGTGCACTGGTGAGCAGTCATGTTGGAACAAGAAGGGGCCATTCCCGAACTGTTCCCACAAAGTTGGGAGCACAAAATTGTCCAAAATATCTTGGTATGCTGACCCCTTAAGAGTTCCCTTCACTACGGGGCCAAGTCCAACCCCTGAACAACAATCCAACACCATAATCCCCCTCCACCAAACTTTACACTTGGAAAAATGCAGTCAGCTAATTACCATTCTCCTCACAACCGCCAATCCCAAACACGTCCATCGGATTGCCAGACAGAAAAGTGTGATTGATCACTCCAGAGAACAGGGCTCCACTGCTCTAGAGTCCAGTGGCGGCATGCTTTACACCACTGCATCCGACGCTTTGCATTGCACTTGGTGATATAAGGCTTGGATGCAGCTGCTTGGTCATGGAAACCCATTCCATGAAGCTCTCTATATACTGTTGTTGTGCTAATCTGAAAGCGATATGAAGTTTGGAGGTCTTTAGCTATTGACTCTGCAGACAGTTGGTGACTTCAGCATGCGCTAACCCCGCTCTGTCATTTTACGTGGCCTACCACTTCGTGGCTGAGTTACTGTTGTTCCCAGTTGCTTTCACTTTGTTATAATAGCACTAACAGTTGACCGTGGAATATTTAGTAGCCAGAAAATTTTACGAATGGACTTATTGCGGCACAGTGGTTTAGTGGTTAGCACTTCTGCCTGGCAGTACTAGGGTCGTTGGTTTGAATCCCAACCACGGCACCACCTGCCTGGAGTTTGCATGTTCTCCCTGTGCCTGCGTGGGTTTCCTCCGGTACTCCGGTTTCCTCCCACACTCTAAAGACATGCTGGTAGGTTAATTGGATCCTGTCTAAATTTTCCTTAGTATGTGTATGTATGAATGTAAGTTAGGGGCCTTAGATTGTTCACCCCCTTGAGGGTTAGGGACTGATGTGAATGTACAATATATATATATATGTAAAGCGCTGCGTAAATTGACAGCGCTATATAAGTACCTGAAATAAATAATTGCACAGATGGCAACCTATCACGGTACCACACTTGAATTCACTGAGCTCCTGAGAGTGACCCATTCTTTCACAAATGTTTGTAGAAGCCGTCTGCATGCTTAGGTGCTTTATTTTATACATCTGTGGCCATGGAGGTGATTGGAACACCCGAATCCAATGATTTGGAGGGGTGTCCCAATACTTTTTGCAATATAGTGAATTATGCTATTTTGACACAGATTTCCTGATGGAAAAAGTGGTGCATTTTTAAAAACACACATGCTGCCAACATTTGCCTGGTCAAGCCTGATCAAGCCATATTAGCTCCAGTTCGTCTAACATCTGGATTTCCATTCTCTCAATGTGGAATTCAGATTTCTGTAACATTGGCTGTATTCTGTAACGTTCACTCTGAAATATTTGCTGATTTGATTTATTGTAGGGACATGCTGCATTGCATTCCTGATCCATCATCTAAGTCTAACACTGTTCTATCCCTGCATCGGATGCTGCAGACTGTTATAAGCCTCACAAATAGTGGGATGAATACTGGTAGATGGATGGGAAGTGTACCTAAATGCAGAAATGTGAGTGCTCCTTAATTACATAAAAAAAAAAAAATGCCCTTAGAGTGTTTGCATATGCTTTTTCTGTAGGGCTCTCAGAAGGGTAGTAATGCTTACCACCCTCTGAAAAACAATCCACTGTGAATTGATTTTCAGAGGGTCATATAGCAGTAGCCGGCAGATTTTCAGGGGACACTACTACCCCCTACTGATGCCTGTCTTTTTTTTCTAGTTGTTGAACAGTGATTTTACATTGCGGCACCGCAACTGTGAGCCAAGTGTTTGATCCCAATGGGTATGGTTGACAGTTGTCACCGCTGCTGCAGCTCAAGTTAAAATGGCAGCAGCTACAAAGCAAGGCATCATGGCTGGGGTATGTTTTTTACAGGCATGCCAGCTGTTTTTACTGTCCCTGGCCACCAGTATTAAAGGGCCCTTAGACCTTTTTTGGTAAGTCCAGAAGCAGCACAGCGGGGGTGTGCTGGTGAGAGGTGTCATAAGACTTTCCCAGCTTGATTTGAATGTAAGCACTATTGGAGCACTTAGTATTGGAACTTGGTTTACTATAACATTAAAATATTTAAAACCAAACAGAACCTTTTCAGAACCATAGACTTTAGGTAGCTGCTGAAGTCAAACAGTAACAATATACATACAATGGTTTCAAACAAACAAAAACACATTTTGTATGCCCCTCAGGAAGTTATCAACTTGTTAAAGTGGAACTAAAAGCATTTTTTAAAATTTTGGATAGAGTAAGGGATAGTTATAGGGTTTTTTTTGCAACCTGTGTCCCATAAGGGAATTCCTCTTCACTTCCTGTCTCATAGCCAAAACAGGAAGTGAGAAGAAATCCATGTAAAGTGAGGGAATCCCAGCATGTCACCAGAACTAATGTCCCAGTTGGAAGATTTCTATTACTTTTCTGGTGTTCTGGTATCAACTCAAAATTTGGGAATTTCTTTTACTTTCGCTTTTGAAGATAATGGTAAACAGGACATATAAAGAGGGGTGAAGCTCCCTACTGGGGGCACAGACAGCAACAAAAACCGACAGGTGTTTTAATTAGACACATGCGATTCATTTAGTTATAAATCAAAATGCGGACAAAATTTTCATTATTCGGATGTATCCAAATCTCCCAGTCACAATAGTAATGAATTTCATGAATCCAAAATAAATTATAACAAAAACATCAAATTCATTTGTTGCAATCAGATGAGAGGATGCAATAGTTTGGGTCTTTTGTTAATGTTTGAAGCATCCAAAATAATGTAACGAGACATAACGAATTATCCAAATTGATTTGGATCCTTTCATTTTATTCAGATGAGAGTGGCACGGTAGTTGTGACTCTTGGATAATCAGCCGATTCTTTTTGCATTAACATGTTTCATTATTATAAGAAATGCACTACATATGAAATGGAAAATTATTGCAATAAATACAGTATGGTATAAAAGTAAATAGGATGATTCCTACTTATTGTGTTTGGGTTGGATGAAGGTGGATCCATCAGAATCTCTGAAATATAACAAAATGCATTTTGTTCCATTCGATACTTTCGTTACTCCATTCAATATCATCCAATCATTTTTAACACATTAAAACGAATATAGCCAATCTTCCAAAATAACTTCCATAAATACGAATCGATTGAGAACAACGAATATACAAAACAATTCCAAATATATGAAATAAAAACAAATCATTTTAACATAAGGCTCCGTGCACACGGGGCGTTTGGATAATGCTGGTAACGTCAGCTGTGTCAAGTCACGTTAAAAAAAAAAAAGAAAAAGAGTTTTTCAGCTTTTTTTTTTACAGTTTTTGCATTAGCGTTTAGCAGTGTTTTGCCGTGATTAGTGACGGTTTCCCATGTTTTTCAGCGTTTGCGTTTTTTAACCTAGCAGTCTGATTACGTCAGTATTTCTGTGCTCAAAGTGGTACATTTTTTTGCATGGAAATATGTTGTTTTTTTATTGTAGGCTGTAATTCTTAGGAATAACTCACTGAAATCTGTCCGAACAAGAGTCTAGTAAACATCCCGGGTATGATAAAATTTGAAACACAAAATCATAAATTATAATACAATAAATAATCAAAAAAAAATAATAATATAATAATAATACATTTAATTCAATAATGTAATCAAACCAAAAACACATCTCTGATCTTAGTCACAGAATAATTTTCAGTGTCTGATGACGAATTTCCCCACAAATCATTATCACTCAATTCTGCAAGTGGTTCTAATTTACTATCGCTGTTCTCTAGCTGGTCTAAAACCACTTTTGACCTAAAGGGGCACTTTTCGGACACCATGGACGTTTCTCAGTTTCCAGGCAGAGAGAACAGTAAAAATGCAGGCAGGGCACAGGACAAAGCAGTAGGGACAAAATGGATGTGAAATGCTTTCATACAGTAATGTAATACTATAAGATTTTAGCGTATTGAGTGACTTTCATGTTTTAAAATTTTTTAATTTCCTGATGGTTCCGTCCCCCGTACGTCCCGACGCTCGCAGAGAACGGAACCCGGAAGACGGATGCCGGCATTGGCCGGAGGAGATGGCCGGGGACTCTGCAGGGGGGACATCATGGGAGCGCAGGACAAGGTAAGTGCAAGAGGGATCCAGGAGCAATGCTGCAGTGTATTCCCAAGTGTAGCTCGGAGTTACGGCTTCTGGTACTGAAACTTAACCCCGAGCTACACTTGGGAATACCGCCAGGGGGGGTTAATGTTTTTTTTACCAAAAATAAATATTTTTTTTTGGGTAAAAAAAAAGTCCAAAAACTCTGGTTTGCGGTGTTTTACTGCATTTTGCTGTGTTTTTCAGCGTATTTCAGCGTTAGAGCGTTTTTACAGCTAAAGAACTCCTCTAGAAACCCACTAATCCTGGGATTTTTTTCCAGCCAAAAAAAGTCCCTGCCAAAAAAAACTTTTGATTACAGTCTACGTGTACATGGACACATAGGATAACATGCTGGGGGGTTTACTGGCTGCAGAAAAAAAACATCAAAAGCCAAAATCAGCAGCTGTAAAAAGTCCAGTGTGCATGAGGACTAACGAATATAGCGAAATGAAATGATTAACTTAATGAATGAATCCAAAATGAAACAAAACAAAGTTTATGATCAGGCACATCTCCAGTTCTAATTCGTCTCCACTGTTCAAAACAAAACAAATAGTTTTGCCTTGAGTTACGCTTTCAATTTCTGGCTGGATTAACTGGTTATTTTCACGCTTATCAAACAGATATGACAAAACCCTTTCAATGGTATATTTATCAAACTAAAAGGGACCAAATAAGAGCAGTGTGTTTACATACCGGGTAAAGTGCCAGTAGTGGCAGCTTACTCTTGCAAATAAAAAAATAACTTGCAAAACAAATGCCCAAGATGCCTATGTGCTCATGGTCCATTATGTTGTTATTATGTGAGACACAAGGGAACAAATGTATACTCCTACATCTGTATGAACTAGCCAGATTGAGTTATTTTTTTTCTTTCGTATTACGATTATTACTAGAGTCATCAAATTTCACATAAGATAGATGTCCTTTGGAGACCTTCAACAGAGAAGCATCATTGCATTTTTTTTTATAAGCAAAGAGTTTATTCCATCTACTATTTAGTTTATGACTGAAATTTGGAATAAAAAGAAGAATGCTAACAAAGGCAGGCAGTTCATATTATGTCCATTAAAGTGTGACTTATTGAGACCTTAGGGGCAGCATTTTAGATGAACGTATAAGAGGATGGTGCAGTTCCATGTGAAAAGCTTTCAGCCATGCACTTGAGGTTATTCCAGCTCCAAGGTTATTTATATGTAAATGAAATTGCTGTCAGAGTGATTGAGTTCTGCAGTGTCTTTGTGGTTTTACTACATATTGAGACTGTCATTAAGTAATAATTCCAGCTTTATTCCTTGCATAATGCAGAGATTGTATATTTATGTAAATATTGTCTCTTTAAAATACAGCGGGGTAATACTAAAATGACCAAGAGCTGGAATCATGGCCATAACTGGTCCGATGGGTGGATATATGTAGCGATTAACTTCTTAATCGATCACATTGACTAACAATGTTATTTAATACAGTAGAAGGTATTTATAGCTGTATAAATAACATTAGTCGTTAAAGCGTAAGTAGGGAAAGAGGTTAAAGGTTTAGATGGATCATGCTTATATTTAATACCTGGAATTTCCAGCCATCCTATTTACCAAGGTCAGCTGCAGTGGCATGGTAAATAATCACACCAATTATATGACCAAGAAGTCAGCAGGTGCCGATCTTTCAATTCTCTCACCTTGTAAAGTTAGACCCCAATATGGTGCTTATAAAAGAGAAGCTGAACACCTGTCAGCTGGAAGAGAAGCAATCTGGTAAATCTGCAAGTGTCTGCGGACAGCAATTCACAGCCAAGCTGGTTCTTGTGTTGTGGTACGGAAAAACTATTAAAATTAGTGTGAGCAATTTACAGAGTTACTCCACTTTTGTTGAGAATAAAACAATCCCCACTAGGTGATCAGTGGGCATTGCAAAGATTTTAACAAACATTGTCCTAC